AGAGAAATAGATCTATTTACAAACGATCTCTAAAACTGATCCTTCATCAGGCTGGTGAGATGGCACAGCAGATAAAGGTACTTGCTTACCAAGACTTCCCAGTCTGGTAATCGGTACTCAGTTTTCAGCACCCACATGGTGGAAGGAAAGAATCAACTCCACACTCTGCTGCCCCACACTCACACTAACCAAACAAATAGACATAAGATGTTATAAAATTAATCTTCTACGCTCAAATAGGAGATGTAAATACTTTTATTATTTCTTCTAAAAATCTTTCTCTTTGTATTCTGTCAGGAATTTTTATTCTCATCTCTCCCATTAAGAACCTAGTTAAAATTTAACAAACTTATTTTAAATTATTATAATTTTGTATTAGACATTAGGTTAAAGTGACCAGAAAGTCACTTTGGCATTGCCATAGCAACGAGATACAAAGCCACCATTCAGTGTGCAGTTTTGGTTATGTTCCATGTTTGATGGTATGAATTTACTGTTCTGAAGCAGCCATTACCCCCAAATGCAGGGATGTGATTATAGTGTAACATTTCGTTCCAATGTGAAGCAAAGGATTGCGACTTTGTAGCAGGGATGCGTCAGAGATGGTTCTCAGGGAAACCTTGCTTCCCTGCAATGAATCTAAATGGCAGAATCACAGAATCATTTCTTCTGACACTTCCTCCCTTAAGTGCACATTGCTTTCCTGAGTGGGTTTTTTTTGAGCCCCAAATTCTTCTGTTCTTGTGCTAGAGAACCAAAAACAGAGAGAAGGCTCCCTCAATGACACAAAAACTGACTACAATATTGTTGAAGTCAAGGGAAGCATCACTGTTAAGGTTGAATCCATTTCTTAGTTGATTTTTAAAGGATAGTTTTTATTGAATGGGTGTGAAGGAGGGAGAAGGTAAAATTGTACTTATGGATTAATTTCCCATTCAATCATCTCACTGCTTCCAGGAGAGTTGGAATGTGGCCCTGAAGTGGGTTTGAAATACAGGACAGAAAGGAACCCATGCCCCAGTGGTGGGTGCTCACCAGTATGTGTGGTTGGCTCCTTTGGCAATAAACTCTAGAGGAGACAAAAGTGTGTGATGAGCAATGAAAGCAGGCAGCCGAGCAATGAATCGTGACCTCATGTAGAGAGTAGACTGTAGAAAGAGAAACACACTTGGTAAGAAATGAACCGAGAGTTCTCAATATGTACTTGTCCTTGAACCAGCTAACTAGAATGGTTTTTCCCTCCAAAACTGAAAATTAAGAAAAATCAGAACAGTACTGAAATAGTGTTGCCTGGTGTCCTAGCTTGCTTTCTGTTACCGTTGCAAACAACACGACCAAAATGTGACTTGGGGAAGAAAGGGTTTTTTGTTGGTTTGTTTGTTTTTTGCCTTACTCTTCCTGACTGCACTGGCTCCTCAGGGGAAGCCAGGGCAGGAACTGTGCAAGAACACTGCATACTGTCTTGCTCTCAATGGCTCACTCGTCCTCCTTTCTTACACAACCCAGGACTGCCTGCCCAGGGGTGGTATTGCCCACAGTAGGCTGGACACTCCCACATCATTAATCAAGCAAATGCCCTCAGTGCATTTGTGGGAGGCAGTTCCTCGGTAGAGGTTCCTTCTTCCGGGTGATTAGTTTGAGTCAGCTGAAAAACTCTAACCAGCCGGTCTAGAAAACTAGGTCTCTGAGAATTATTTGACTTTACATGGTTAACAGTAAAAGGTTAGCCCAGTCTAAAATATTATCAATTATATACATTGATGATGTGCGTGCATATTTATTTTTAGAAATGAAGTTTATTATAGTAACACATAAATTATGTTTGCTCAATTTTGTTCATATATATTTTAAACTACATAAAATACAAATTTATAAAGAATTGTTATAAAAGGAACTGGTAGGCACTGGCAAAGGTATCCATATGCAAATACATACATATTTACTAAATGAATGAATAGGCAGATCTGAATGAAATGAATTCTTTTGTTCATCTCAGCCAGAACTGTGAATGCGGCAGAGGGGCATAAAATCCTGATTCATCCCTTTGCAGGATGATGGGAATGCTTTTAAGAATTCCTTCTTTAGCAGCTTTGATCCTGACTTCTGTATTCATAGGAAACAAATGTCATTTTTGGATGACAGGTAAAATGCATCCATAGACCAGTGTCCTGTTTTAGGAACTCCTCCAGGGGGACCTAAAAGGCAAAGTGAAAAGGCTTCCGAATAAAGGCCCACAAGGTTGCTAGGCAGGGAGAGGAAAGGAGAAAGACTACTTCTGTTTATCAGAGACACTTCAGCTCCTCTAGATGTCAGTATCACACAGGGAAAAGAAACTATAAGCAGCCTGTGGTGAGGAATGGAGGCCTCGCATTATTTAAGTGGTGAAACATGTGTGGCAATAATTTCAGGAAGGAAGAGCAGCCCTGCGTAGTGACTGGCTCCTGTATCTTCAGCACTGACAGTTTCTGCGCTCAGCCAGGCCAGACTCTGGCTGAAGACTGTGGGCATCTCACGCTCACACTTGCCACCGGATACTCGCGGCCTGACTGGTTCCACAGAGTTTTATAGCCAAACCTTTACATATTTTTGATGGGTTGAAATAAATGAACACACACCAGGTTTCATCATTCTCAGGTCGCTTTCGGTCTACCGTAGGGTCTATGCCACACAGGACAAACCCCAAAGCCTGGTGCCTACCAACACACCAGACTTTCTCATTTCAGAAGAGAAATCGCCAAGAGACAGATAAAATGCCATCAACACAATTTGCTCAACTGTCTTATTTGACTGGCTTGATATCGACTTCTCAGAATTAAAATGAAATGATCTCCTTCCCTCTTCAATGTTAATTCCAGTCTTTTAGCTAACGGACCCATATCTCCCTTGCCGTGTTAATGTTTTTATTGTATGCTCCCTGCTCTTGCTCTTTTTATTTTATGGTGCCTACTCTGCAGTAGATCCCAGTCAGAGTTGCTCTCCAGGTTGGCTAAAATCCTTTTCTACACCAGGAAAACAGCACAGATTGTGCTGCCGCTTAGAGAGCAAACCAAATAGAGAAATGAATTAGAATCCTGACTTCATTATAAAAATGAGGTTGGTAGTCAGCCCCTCTCTTTACAAGGGAGTTGACCATGCAAAGTGCACTGAAGAGTTTCTAGTAGACTCAGCTGTGCACTCAGTGCATCTTAGCCATCATTGTCTTTCTCATTGGCATCTCCATCATCATGACCACACCATCATCATCATCTTCTTCATTGTTATCACCATCATCATTATCACCATGTGACGTCTCTAGTCTAAGCACCATGACCATCATAAATCCAACACCTAGAAGAAACAAACTGGCAATAAGAGTTTGGTGAAGTGTTACAAGGGACACTGGTATTGGCGTAAGTGCCAAGTTCTGGGCCCACAGACAGAAGTAGCAACTGTGTAGCATGAATAATAAAAACCCATAGATAGAGGTTAGGGTTCAACCCCAAAACCAAACAAAGCAGCCAAGCAACTAGAAAAGTCTTACCTCTATCAAGGCTGGGTAACCGCAAAACTAAGCAGCTTAAACCTCTCATTTTATATTCCCTCTAGTTCTGGGATTAAAGGTGTGAGCCACCACCACCTGGATTTGTTTCTGCTTTGATCTTGTATAGCCCAAGGTGGCCTCGAACTCACAAAGATCCATCTGCCTCTGCCTCCCAAATTCTTGGATTAAAGATGTGTGCCACTACTGCCTGACCTCTAGTGGCTTAGCTTTGCCTCTGGTCTTCAGGCAAGATTTATTTATCAAAATATGAATAATATACCACTAGACAACTGGACTTGCGTAAGGAAATTAAAGGGCATTTTTTTTATTACCATCTCTGTACTTGTGTGAAAAAGTGAGAGGCTTTCTATAGCCTCGATCTCCATCCTTGGCTTTCTACAGATGTACTAAATGTGCCTCTGTGTGGTGAGGCGTCCACCTGGAGAAAGGAAGAATTCTGAATTATAAGTGTATTTGCAATGTGTCTTCATCTCTACAGTCTGCACTATGGGATATTTCATATTTACAAATCCCCTTGGGCAAACTGTGTTCTGCTCCAAAGAGTGGAGGGACTCATTTTCTGTGACTTCCTATGAGTGTATCGATTTACAATGTATAACTCACAATTTGTGTGGATTAGGGTAATCTTCACCTTTCGCAGTGTGTGGAAGGGTTTGTTATGCTAGTCTGGGGAAGCTAGAACTGTGAGAACAGGTAACTGCTTGGGAGAAAGACATCTTCTAAGGAAAGAAAAAGCAAGTTGTTAAGAAGCTCATTGCCTTCATCCCCAGGTAGTTTAGAGAACTCATTCACACGTGTTCTCTATTTGAGTTCAATTGATAGGTGAGCCAAATCCGAACAACTGAAATGGAGGTCAAGGGCAGCTTACACATCACCATAGCCTTTAATGAGATCACGAAGATGGGCTACCTTCTACACATGACAGAATTTGTGTGAAAATAGGGAGCTCGTTTTCTTTGATACTGCTTTGTATATAGAGTTTCATTGATTCAGACTGTTTTTCACTTTACATGACTACCAATTTTTGTGTATTTCCCCATGTTTGAATTGTATAATATAGTAGTGTCAACTTGGAACAAGGTTTCCCCTTACTTCTGAGAAAATTTAGTAATCGTTGGAGACATTTTGCTTTATTAATATTATTTTTAATCAGTAACATTCCAGATAGACAAGAATAGGGTTGAGATTTTTTTATTTTGCATAGCAGGGTAAATATAGTCAGTAGTAATGTATTATGCACTGTAAAACTAATTAAGAAATTAAAATTTGAATGTCTGGAGTCATTTTTGCGGTCGTCACAGCTGGAAGACAGGGTTCTCCTGGGAGAGGTCAGGTGTGTGACACTAGACATCCTATCATGCACTTTACATGAAGAACTGCACAGCCTGCATCACTAGTGCCGAGGCTAAGCAGTGTGTGCACTGCAGGTAATCGTAATGGCTTGATTTTACACCCACAGGCTAAGGAAAACGTGTGGTCCAACCCTGCACTGAATGAAAGGACAATTGTCGCCGGTGGAAAGTCATCAGCCCTCACAGGTAACAAACATCCTTCAGAGACTCAGTGGTTATGGAGGGAGTTCTGTTGTCACTCTTACTCAGAGGAAATCACACATTCCTAAATCTTATGGGGAGGAATGCTGTTTTATTAACTTTTTCTTTTGTCTGATTGGCTTTGGATTTACCAGCGACAAACAAGAAAAACTCTTGACACACAGTTTTCAGGCAGCGGGGCGTATTCCATTCTGCTTTGTTTTTGAAAACTTAAATCCGCTGTTGAAAAGAAGCCAGGCTAGAGATGCCCATTAAGTGAAACCAAAATTAAAATGATCCTGTGAATTTTTCATTAACGTGTTTTGTGTTCTTTGGCTTCTTAGAGAAACCTGACCAGAAAAACCTAGTCTCCTCCGAGAAGGAAAAGGTTACCAAACTCAACAAGAAAAATGCTGAGAAGACCAACTCCTGTGAGGTTCAGAGGAGCTATGTCATATGTCATCAGGAAAGACAAGACAAGGTAGATTTTGTTCCAAGGGATCCCATGGAACTAAGAGAGAATGCAGATGGAAAAGATGGTCTATGCGTAGAAAGTCTGGAGAGACAAGAAAGCAACACCTTGGGGGATAACCAGGACACTGAGGATAAAAATGGATGTCCGTTTCTCAAAGGAGGGAAACGTGGGCTTCCTTCTAAGGAAGAGAGCAGAGGAACAGAAACCGAGAACGCAGTTTCAACAGCGGCAAGTGAAACAGTGCTGGACAAACGTTCACCTGGAAATCAGCAGGCGGACGGGATGAATGGTGGCCCATCCTCTGAAAGGTACTGTCACAGTATCACACATCCACAGCTGGGCTCTCTCATAGGCCTTTGTGCTGTGGTATTTGATGCCATTTTGAAGGAAAAATGAAGGTGGTTTTAAAGGCAATGTTTAGGATGAGCTCCTCTCTTATATTGATTTTTCATGGCTATATTTTCCTATTATTCTTTTATTCCTCTTTCTTTGTATCATTATTTTTAGTTATTTCCACTCTGTCTCCCTCCCTCACTATTTCCACTCTCCCTCTGCCCCTCCCTCCTGCTCTTAATTCCTTCTTCCCTTCCTTCTTTCCTTGCTTCCCTCCACTGGGAATGGAACTCAGGGCCTTTTTCATGCTAAGCCTGTGCTTCCTTCCTGAGCCCCATTTGATCATCTCTAAGTCTTACACTAACACTAAGATCACAAATTTTGATATCGTCAGTAATCAATACTCTATAAAGAACAAGTAAAAAGTTTTGCTGCTTAGCAGTAAAAAGTACATCCTTTCTAAGGCTAAGAATTAAATAATGATTATGTTGAGTTGTAAATTAAAAACCCAAATCTGAAAGAGTTGACCTAATCCATTATAGAAACATTATAGAAAGAATCCATTGGTTGTTTCTTCCCTAGCATTGTAGGAAGCAGATAATTGATTAAGCTTCTTCCTTAAAATTAAAATTAAGAGGCATCTTATACAAATTCAAGAATTTTTGTATCCAATTAAAATTAGCTGCTCCAAGTATTGCATTTGTTTAAGGCATAATTGTTACTTAGCTTTAATATAATGCATTTGAAATTAATCTTGAAGAAATATAATTTCTATATCTTAAACACTGATCATTATTGAAGTCCATCATGACGAGATTTGCTCAAGAAGACCAGCAGCTGCCAGAACATTCCAATTAAGCCACCAATAATGGTTCTTCTGTGGTGGTCAATCTTTAGAGAGATCACCGCTCCTTTTCTATAATTTCTCTCTTCTGTTGTTAGGTTTCATAAATGACCACTTTTGGACTCACAGTGAGGTCCCTGGAAGACTCTCTGTGTCTGGTAATATATTTAGATTTGACGTTCTCAACTGCTGAACTGGTCACCTCTGTCTGTGTGGCAAAGCACATCGTCTTCCCCAAATACCATCCTAATTAAGTTTCGGTTCTAAGAGTTTTGACAATCTGGGAATTTTTTTTTCCTTGAAACATTGAGAGCTGCAAATGAGTTTTATTTTCCAGGTGCATCAGTAATATAAAGGCCATTTCTACACCAGGAATCCCGGGAAATTCGGCAGCAGGATCCACTTTCCAGAATGCTGAACAGACAGAGTCTGCGGGCAGCAGTAAGCGCCGAGTGGCAGAGGAGTGTTTCCTAAGTGAGGACAAGAAAAAGAGCAGAATAGATGTAGTGAGAGTGGGGGAAGAGCCCACGGTCAGGACAGAGGAAGCCAGACAAACCTGGAGCCCGGATGACAGGCCCCAGGAGGGAATGAGCATCCATCTAAGAGAGCAAGCCCCAGCGGTCCCACTAGGTAGGAAATGCTTTTTGTTCTGGACTTTTAAAGTTTCCTAACTATCCACAGCAAGCATTCCAACTGAATTTCCCTTATCGTAACAGTTCTAAAGAAACATATGCTCTGTGATTATGTATTAGTGTGGTTAACTTGAACACTCTTTGTGCAGGCAAAAGAAACAGTCTTGTCTGTCTATCTATCCGTATATCTATCTATCTATCTATCTATCTATCTATCTATCTATCTATCATCTATCTATCTATCTTAAGTGTGTGTGAATGCATATTTATATATATGTGATGCCTATAAACATGTGTGTTCAGGGTGCGCACCTGTACATTTACAGAGGCCAGAGGAGGACACCAAGTGTCCTGCTCTACCATTTCCACCATATTCCTTTGAGACTGGAGCTAGGCTGGTGACCATCAACTTAGGGTTACAGGCACAATGGTAAGCTTTTTACATGGCTCTTCGGGATCCTAACACATGTCTTTAGGCTTTGAGACATGTACACAAAGCACATTTACCCATAGAGCTGTCTTCCCAGCCTGAACAAAATCTGAAGCAGTGAATGACTCCTGAGGAATTCTCTCCTGATTTTATTTCAAAGTATATTCATGGCATGAGAAGTGAATGTTTACATCAAATTAGATTCCAAGAGAGTTGTGCTATCTGAATATAAAAATGTTAAATGAATCAAACAAAATAAATATTACTATTTGATAGTATACCTAGAACAAGCTAAGTGATTAGGAAATATATATTGGATAAATACCAAGTTTAAAGAACACAGCTGTTTAGGACAGGGTAGTGGTGGTTCACATCTTTAATCCCAGCAGCACTCAGGAGGCAGAGGCAGGCAGATTTGAGTTTGAGCCAGCCTGGTCTACAGAGTAAGTTCCAGGGTAGTCAAAGTTACACTGTCTCAAAAAACCAATAAATGAATAAATATACAGAATAAAGAACGTAATTGTCTCCCATCTTTGTACCCTTGCTGTATGTGTGAAGTAATTTTAATAAGTAAATGGAGAAGGGCAAAGTCATGGACAGCAACAGTCACGGGAATAGGAAGACCATCAGAAATATTACTGAGTAGCTATGCGTGCTAGGCTTCATGCGGATGTGGACGATCACTTAAATACATCAGATGGAAGGTGGAAAGCGGGAGAAGCGGGATAGCTGTAGCACATAACTTATGTGGTTTCATTGGGGGTTTTATTTCCATTCAGCCAGGAAAAATTCATCTCTGTGCTTTAAATGCCTCTGAAATAAAGCCCAAAACATTTAAAAAAAAAAAAGTAGCGTACAGTATCAAATAGTTCAATGACACAAGGAAATAATTCATCTTTCTCCATTTCTCCCTCTCTGCTTTAATTAAAATATGAATTATACAGGAGCATTTTCCAAAAAGATGAATCCATTAATTTCTCATGGTCAAATGAAAAATGGTTTCAGGCTTGAAAGCATTAAAAACAAAGTCACGCTGGAGATCAAACCAAGGATCTCGTCCATGCTAGGAAAGGGCTTTTCTGCTGAGCTTCAGCTCCAGCCCCAGAAGTGTTTGTCTGTCCTGGGATTGCATATTTGTTTACCGTCCTGCATTTTCTAAAAATCACCCCAAAGAGTTTGTGAATGACTTTATTTCCCAAAGATACTTGATAAGATATTCATGAGTTACAGACCACTCATATGTGAAATGGAAATGTATATTCCAGGGTCATTAGGGATAAGACAGGTGGCTGATTGCGTTTTAGTTTTACACGAGCCGATTTTCACTAGGAGACGTGCTGCTCGCTGCCGAAAGGCCAGACTCCTTGACGGACAGCCCTTTCCTTCTCCCCTTACAGACGATGTCCCCGCTCCTGCAGCCCCGTTTGATCACCGGATCGTAATGGCCAAACACGCTGCCGTGGACAGTCTGTACGCCGTGAGCAAGTCTGAGATCCTAGGAGGGTGAGTGAGGCCCAGTTTGAACAATGCCTCAGTAAAAGCCGACAGTCTCCCCAAGGCAGAGCCCAAGATGGCGGAAATGTCGCTAGTCTCGACTTGAGAACTGCAAACACTAAAAGCAAACAGTTTAAGAGATTTTTAACCATTTTTGAAAATTGTCACTTGTCCTGGACAGTTGACGTGGTAGCCATACTTCCTCTTTAGCATCTGTTTTAGTTGCCCTGTTATGATGTCTGAGAGTAGGAAAAAAAACTAACATGAGTCACCAGAAGAAGGTCCAGGAACGGTCCAAATCCAGGTTTAGCCCTTAAGAGAAGAAATAGAAATGTATCCAACCTATGTATTTCCAGTGGCCTGGAGTTCATCTTTCTCTCAATCTAGCCGGTTTTCCTTTTCTGTGGCTATAGCTTCCATGCTATTACCGTGTTAGTTGATTGCTTTCCTCACGGAAGAACTCAACTGAGTGTCATTGAAGTGCACACTGTCTCTTAAAGAAGGAAGAGTAGAGGTCATCGGGGTCAGGGTTACACTGGGGGACCTTTTCCCCTCCTACTTCGTCCACAGTCTCCCAATGACTTCCTGTAACTCAAAGCCTACATAAAAAAATTTACTACCATTGCACGTTTTTGTAAAATAGAAGGAGAAAGCAGCATTTTGCACCCTATACACAATTAGCACATGGAGGATGTGCAGGATACCTCAGTGTGGTTTCCTCGGGATGTTAAGGGGTGACCAGTTAATTCTGTAAGGTTGTGTCTTCTCCTTACCATTCCACAGTCCCTTGCCCTCTGCCATATAGAAACACCTGAACTTTGAAATAATTCCTAGGGTTTGTGCTGCTTTGGGGTTTGTCAGTGGCTTCTTTTAAAGTTCTCATCTGCCTCTTTGGGCACAGTAGAATTTGAGGTCTGTCATTGGTTGTTGTGGGCTCACCTCAACATTGGTGGCCATGCTGTACTGGAAAAAAAAAAATAGGTTAGCAGAGCAAATGAGGTGTGCACCAAGTCCATGCTGCCTGCTAATGGTAAGGGTTTATTATACAGTAGTTTATCTTTTACTTGGAGGAGATATTGAAACAGGTCAATACCACGGGATTCTTGGCAATTTTAACCACTGTCCTTAATTCAAAATTCAAGTGAAATTTTGTATAACCTATAGGAGACACTGACCAAATTTCTCTGCCCCGAACAGGAATAAGGATCAGCATACGGCCGAGGCAAATTAACTTCTAAGATTTAGGTCAAGACGACAGACACAAATATAATTCAAGACATAAGATTTTTCAGGGCTTGCCCATTCCCTTTATGTAGCAGAGATTTGTGACAGGCAATGCTTCTGATGTGGAAGACTAACTAAAGACAAGCGCAACTTCCTGAGGGGATATAGGTGACCCCTAGAACTCACCTTGGCCAGTGCTGCTCCAGATACTGAGACATATTTGCAAGTGTGCTCACTCAAGAGACAAATGACTGGGAACGCATACTGTTCACCTGGTAGGGACCGATACGGGGCCCTGCAGACTACAGTGCCTCACTGAACCGTCTGTTGTTTGGCAGGGGTCGCTTTGGCCAGGTTCACAAGTGTGAAGAGAAAGCAACGGGCCTGAAGCTGGCTGCTAAAATCATTAAGATCAGAAGTGCAAAGGACAAGGTAAAGGCGCCGGGAGGTGTGTCTCCTCTCCCTCTGGGCCAGTCTCCACCGCACCAATTCACTCTTTCCTTCTCCTCAGGAGGATGTGAAGAATGAGATTAGCATCATGAACCAGCTGGACCACGTGAACCTCATTCAGCTCTATGATGCCTTTGAGTCCAAGCAGGACATCATCCTCGTCATGGAGTAGTATGTGTTCTCTCTCCTCCACCTTCTGCCTAGCGCTCATGACTCAGCCGGAGCCATGGGAGCCATGGGCAGTGCACCGTTGGTTCTGAGTTGCAGGAGACACGAGATCTTGCCGCCAGAGTCAGAAGGGAAACTGTTTCCAAGTGCAGTCTCCCAGTGTGACTCACTGATCAGATGCAGCAGGACAAAATAGATGCAGCCTGTATCTAGGCTCTGTTGACCCAAACCAAGGTTGGGTTTTATCCTGTGCAACGTAGAGGAAAAGTGGCGTGTGAACCTTATTTCCTTCCACAGTGATTTCTCTTACCTTGGGGGTATGTTCTAAAATCTTTAATGGATGACTGAAATTGGGAATGGTACGGAGCCAACAGGTACTTAAATACCCATGGTAAAATTTAACTTATAAGTTAGCAGCTTGTGGTAAAATGAAACGATTACAACAATATATCAAACAAAAGTTATGTGAGCGCAGTCTCTACTCAGGGTGTCTTGTGCTATATTGATCACAGGTGACCGTGAGTTGCTAAAACCTAACAGAATGAAGCTGGGGAGAGGGGGTGGTTAAGCATTCAAGATCACAAAGCACACGCCAAGCCCCTGATACTAAATAGCCCCATTTCAGAATCCCTTCTGCAAAGACTTGATCAGCTCAGGTGAGAGTGCCTGCCGAGCATGCGTGATGCCCTGCTTTACATCCAAAGTCCTACAAAGTGCTATGCCAGCACACCCACCATAAAACTCAAGTAGTGTTAATACTGAACAGACACTGAAAGTTGGTTTGTTTTGTTTGCCTTGGTATATAAGGTTTGGAAAACAACTGTATCCAGCATCAGCCACATAGAAATACTTTGTCATTACTCTTAATCCAGCCATACAGAAAAACATTGCCATTACTCTTAATCTAAGAACTCAAAGGGTAAAACCTTGACTCACCTCCTGTTAACACTGGAAACACTGGAATCCCACCTCAGTGTGTCCTTGAGTTATCTTCATCCCCCAGTATCTGTTATATGGCATCCATGAACTCAGCTAGAGTGTATCCACCGATAACAGGGACTTTGAGACTTTAGTTGTGTGATGTTGAAGGTATAGACATAAGGTATACTGAAGGTATCCACATAAGTATCATGTAACCCATATAGTGAAGAAGGCAAGGAAATAACTGCGCAAACACATACCTGTTGTAAGAGCTACAGGCACTTGGGCAGCGACTTCGCGCAAGATACACACGCGGTGTTCATGGAGTCAGGACTCAAAGTTCCACCTCTTCCCTCTGCAGTGTGGAGGGTGGGGAGCTGTTTGATCGCATCATTGATGAAAACTGCAACTTGACAGAGCTGGACACCATCCTGTTCATGAAGCAAATCTGTGAGGGGATAAGGTACATGCACCAGATGTACATCCTCCACTTGGATCTCAAGGTACGGCCTGTTTCTTATCCTGTGAAATGCAAGGCCTCCTTAGCTCTTCCCTCCTGTGAAATATTATGTACCAGCCTTGGGAAGGTGTGTTGTCTCTGGTCATGTTTTTAGGAATTAACAAAAATCTGAATTTTTTCCTTTCTCTTTTTGTTTGTGCGTTTTTTGAGCAGTGTTTTGCTTTTTCACTTAGCCTAGGCGTGAACGTCTGAGTTCAAGCTATCCTGTCAAATCCAGCCTCCCTAGCTGGCGGGACAAACTCACGTCACACCACCTAGCAAAATCAGGATTTTTATCCCATTTACAATTGTCACCACTTTGGGGGACTAATATTCGCATGCCCATCTTTAGAGTCCCTTGTTGAGATTATTATAAATTAACTTTATTAAATCAACACAGGAGGTCATTTCCCTAAAACTGTAGAATTAAAACCAGCATCACAATATTGCTGCCATCTCCTTACTATCAGAGTACACAGTGGGAGTATTTTAGTCTTCAATTCCCAAGTTGTAGCTACCGTTTCAGATCTTAAGAGTCCCCAGTAGCCTCTTGAATTCTTCTAGGAAACTCTGGCTTGGGATTTATTGTCCTATGGGTTTGCTAAAACACTGAGTCGAGGCTGTGGAGAACAGAATGCAGGGCAGCTAGAGGGTGGGGTTGCACTGCCAAAGTGAAGCAAGGGCAGTTGTTCACAAATCAGAAAGCAAGAGGGAAGCCAGTCCATTTCCTTCCTCCTCTTTATCTCCCTCTCATTATAAAGTCTCCAGAACTGGATTAGATAAAACCAGCAAAAGGCTGAGCCCTAACAAGCCTGGTCCAGCCTGCATTAGAGTTAGCATCACAGAATGCATCGTCTTGTGTGGCTCGATCGTTTTCTCATTTCTCTGTTTTCACAGCATGACAGCGAGATAAATTGTGTATTCTATGGAACACACCATATATTGTAAGTCTCTAGGGAAGGGACAGCTGAATAAATCTGGCCTCCTTAAATAGGTTTCCGTGGGCCCCTCTTCCTACAACTTGGCTTCCCTCACGGTCTTGATTTATGCGCCCCTTGCCTTTCCCACTCACAGTTGCGCAGGAGGAGGAAGGAGGGGAAGTGGTACATAAAACGACAAAGTCAGAGGTTAAAAATCATTAGCAAAGTCCTTGGCCGTGAGCTGAGTATGATAATGTGCGCGTCCAAGGAGTACTTTTGTTCACTGTGGATATTCCACAAACAACCCTAAAGGGATTTGATTGGCAGCTGGAGCCAGGAGCTGACCTATCGTAAGTCAAATGACTCCATCTGTGGCTTTGTAACGTTGATTGAAGACTTACAGTGGGCAGTTTTAGTTATGGCTTATATAGAAAGATAACAACAAAGGTGAGAACTGGGTGAGTCACGAAGGAGCAGGTTTCTTTAGAGAGTCCCTTGGAAGGAAGAGACTGATGGGATTGGGCATGCATCGCTTCAGGGAGTCAAGGGGTGACTTACAATGATTCTCCTTTATAATTTTATTTCCTGAAAATCTTATCTGAGATGATGGACGTTGTAAGTTTTAGTATCATAGAAATTATTTTTTTTGAAGTGCCCTCATTTATATCCTGCAAAAGAATATTCAGGATACCGTGGTATTGTTTGACAATAGGACAGCTCTTACTTGTTGACTCCAAACCACCGTAGTGAGCACCCACCTCTGTGTAAAATGGCTTTTACTCTCAGACATCTGTTTTAGAGACATTTTAGGGGAGAGCTTCCAAAGATATTACACAGTGAACTGGGCGGTTAGACGTTGATATGGAGACACTACATCATTTCATAAAGTGTGTCTGGGTTTCTGCCTCACTTGGACCTCCTTTCCACCAGACAGGATGTGGAAGGGGGTGTGGCCCACGTAAAGGACAAAGATGGAATCCTGGGTACCTGGCAATTTCGCTATGCCCAGCTCTTAGCGGAGTTGAAATTAGAATTTAAGAGTTCTTGGCTCTTCTTTGAAAATAGTATTTTTTTTTTTAATGGACGACGTTGGCTTTAAATGAGATTACTTATTTTTCCCAGACTTAAGGTTTTCTATCCCAATAAATATAGCTACATCAGCAGGACATTCCAGGGACACCGGGTAGTAGTGCTGTAGCTTGGTTTCGTCCCTTCCCCCAAGCCTGTCAGATTAGCAGGGCCAAGTTTTACTAGCATCTAACTCCAAGGGAACACTTAGTCAAGGACTTTAAGCACTGAGACCGAGCTCAGCAAAACCTTGGAATTTTGGAGATGAAGAATGAGCAGGAGACAAAAGCCTTCCTTTAGCATGCGACTTTCCCATAGACAAAGCACAAGGGAAAAATCTAGAGGTCAAAAATGTTCGCATTATATTGCATATTCAGCGTGGTTCTTTAAGTGAATCAGGCCATTTCTCTTGGAACTCGTAAATCTTGGGGGAAATATTCCTCCAAGAAGGAAATATACTTAATACTTTAACAGGAGAAGGGCTCTGTCAGTTCTGAACTGGCCTCCACCAGCCCACTTGGAAAATGCTGGAACAGCCTCTCCTCTCTTTCTCTCCTCTAGAAGGCCCCTGCCTGAACTCATGCATTACGGCAATCTGTAAAACCATGAAGAGGGACAGGCAGGGTAATGCAAGGTTGGCAGGCTACCCACAACCTCAGCCACCACATAATTAAAGGAGAAAATACCCACACAGACAAACCAGCCCCCGAGTAAAAGGCCTGATATGTTTTTCCTGAGCATCTTGTATTTTTAGTTGTGGTTCAGGGACAATTTGAGTGAAAGATGGTTGTTTTCATTGCTAATGTGTCTCTTTCTCCTGGCAGCCTGAGAACATCCTGTGTGTGAATCGGGATGCTAAGCAAATAAAAATTATTGATTTTGGATTGGCCAGAAGGTACGTCTGTTTGAATGTAAGTTCAGGGATAGAGGTAGGGGGTGGGAGGCAAATTCATTCTTTGCAAAGACTATCTGCTATGGTCCAGATCTCAATAATAAAAATTAATAATAAAAATAAAAATTAATTTTACCCTAACCCTGTTAGATTTGAGATCTAAGCATTGAGAAGTTTCTGTAAGGCATATAATAAAAATGAGAAGTGAAAACCTAGTCCATTAAAGCTTGTTAACTTATAATGCATTAATTTAGAATCTATGTTTATCCTGATTTTATATTTGTTTCATTTATAAAGGGGGAATTTACTTTAAAAAATGTTAGTAGTTTAAACAAGACATGGCGGGTTCTGATGTCTTAGGGAAGCAAATGATTTACATGGGCACATGAACAGCTCGGCACACTAATGCACAGACAATGGAAGCCGTGGATTGCTCCAGCATTCGGCAGTTTGGAAGGGTTTGTGCTGGCCATGTGCATGGGAAGAACCATATCAGGTCCTGTCACAACCTCGTTCAAATGTTCCAGTTATCTAGAATGGCTTTCTTACAACTGTTTCAGAATATTAAGGTTGTATAGGATGTGTTTTTACTTTTGAACCCCTGGAATGTTAGTCACCTTTAGACACTAGCATGGTTGTTCGATTTCTGGCAAAAGTGCATAATTGAAGTTAGTTTTGCCTTAGAGATGGTGCCTGTTTTCGATGTTCAGTAGTTTTGATCGTCGATTGGCCTGTCCAACCCTCCCACCTTGTCCCCTCAATTTCAGATACAAGCCCAGAGAGAAACTGAAGGTGAACTTTGGAACCCCAGAATTCCTCGCCCCTGAAGTTGTGAACTATGACTTCGTTTCCTTCCCTACGGATATGTGGAGTGTGGGAGTCATCACGTACATGCTGTAAGCAGCTCTCCCGTTGTTCATACACTCATCCTTAGCCTGTGAACCTTCAAGGAGGTTCCACTGGGATGAAAAAGCCTTGACTTCTAGAATAACAATAATAATGTTCTTCTAGAATAACCCAGTGCCATCTCCCATTGCTTAGGTTATGTTAGTTTTCTAAATGGAAGGAGTCAATCCTTTGCCTACTATATCTTAAAAAAAAAAAAAAGGATATACATGTCTTCCTCACAGCTCACTTTGAGTCCCAGGATAGCAGCTAAGAGTCCTAAACATAGTTTTTGTTTTGTTTTGTCTTGTTTTAGATCTTAGATATTGATCTCTTTGGATCAGTGGGCACTGATCTGCTTGGATCGCACCTCAGCAATGACCTCTGGGGTTTGCTTTCTGAGTATGTGGCAGTACCTTGTCTTGCCAGCTGTAAAATACTTGAAAGGAAAATTTATTTTATTATTTGAGCTTTATTCAGGTGCAGCTACAACCTTCAGTGCTGCAATTGCTTAATTGAAAGTTGGGATGGGAGACACAGGCATGTTCCTGGCTGCAATGATGTATTATATACTTACGGTGTATCAATATTTTCCTGTTTTCATTTTTAAACGGCCAAACTAAAAAGTATTCTGTCTATAAAACATACCAAACTGTTTAAACCACCCTCACCCTCAATTCTGTGTCTTGTAGACTCAGTGGCTTGTCCCCGTTTTTGGGAGATAATGATGCAGAGACGCTGACCAACATCCTGGCATGCAGGTGGGATTTAGAGGATGAAGAATTTCAGGACATATCAGAGGAGGCCAAGGAGTTCATCTCTAAGCTCCTCATTAAGGAGAAGAGGTAAACCAAGTTCATCTCTGGTTATAGGAGGACTAGGTGCAGTGTGCACCGTGGAGTTAGTCGATCCCATCCCCTCCGTAACATCCGTGATGCCTGTGCAGGCTCTGAATGCAATGAGGTTTGAATCCTTGACCCAATCTGCTAGTGCCTAGGGCTGTTTCAGTCATGAGGTTGGATGGGACTGAAAAACTTGGTTTTGTGTGTGTGTGTGTGTGTGTGTGTGTGTGTGACTTTTGTAATGAAGTTCCAGCAGTCTAGTTGATCTTGGGTGACCTACCCTCAATCCCTTTCATGTCTATCAACATTTATGGGCCAGACAGTGTCATCTGTTTTTTGAACATCATTTCTTTTCATCAAAGCTCTTAATTCCCAGAGGGAGAAGTTTCTATTATGACCACTTTATGATGCGACTGTATATTGTTAGCCTATTGCTAACAACATTGCTAGGAAGAGACCGAAATGACACTAAACAGAAGTTGGTCTTCCTCCAAGCTTACGCTCTAGACACTCAGATAGCCTTATAGTTTCCTCTCATGCTAAAAACACATTAATTTAAATTTTAGTGGATGAACATGCATGATATTAAAATATAGGGGCTTGATTTTAGATTCATGGAGTAAGAAGGGCACTGTGAGCAGCCTCTTTAGATGGCTTTATATCCGAACTGTGTGACGGTATGTCATATTTAAGATCTTCAGAGCCGATAACAGCTGCTTTGTTGTCCCACTAATAAACAAGACTGTGAAGGAATAGGAGAGAGGATGTTATGGAGAGCAAGAGAAATACCGTAGGTAACGGGTAATGGTGGGAGGCGGAGGAGTCTTTCACTTGAGCAGTTAACCGACCATCTATCCCTAGGACACAGGTCACAGCTGGCCTGGAGCTCAGTCTGTGCACCAGGCTGGCCTCAAACCCGTAACGATCTATCTGCCTATATCTATCTCTCAGGTGCTGAGATCTAAAGGTGCTGCACCACCATGTCTGGCAAGATAGGTCTTTTTTAGAAAGACATGATACAAACCAGGTCCTAAGGCAATGGGGCCAGATCCGAGTCGCTAAAGCAGTGGTTCTCAACCTTCCTCATGCTGTGACCCTTTAATACAGTTGCAGTGACCCTCAACCTTAAAATTATTTTCATTGCTACTTCATAACTGTAATGTTGCTACTGTTACGAGTTGTAATGTAAACAATTTTAGAGATATGATTTGCTGAAGGTGTTGCAGTTGAGAACCACTGCTTTGAAGGATGAGGAGTCGTGGCCGAATAATATGCTATTATTATTATTATTATTCTGAGAGGAAGGACAATCTATGGAGTTAATTTGTTTTTCCTTGACCTCTAGGCAAAATAACAGCCAATATTGTTATTATTTTTCATTTATGGATCCTCGACAATGTAGAGATGGAAAAATGCCAACTTTTTCAAACCTTGGAGGATGAAAAACTCTGTGTTTACTTTGAAATGTGTGTGTGTGTGTGTGTGTGTGTGTTGCATGTGTTTTTAACTCCTGGATACACCTGTGATAAACTCACCAAAACTCCTTCATTCGAAAGTTAGCAGACATAGTCAAAAGACTTCCCATGCATACTGCTTCTCTATTCATTGAGAATTGCTGGAACATTTTATTCCTATAATTAAGAAATGTGCATTTATTTCTCTGTTAAGAGTTCAATTTATGAAGCTCAGATGTCATATCACAGAATAATTACTTATATTTGAAGAAACATTCAATTATTCATAAGAATTTGATTATTGTCCTGCTTGTATTACCAATGCTGATACCGTGGTTAGAGCTGATAGTCCCCTCTGGACATTTCTATCACGCAATTCCAGAAGGCAGGCTTGAACGTGAGTTAGCCACTCTACCAAAACCTGTGAAACTGCGGACGCAGGCGTCATTTAGTGGGCTCCTCTAACATGCTTCTGAATTTCCCTCCAGCTGGAGAATAAGTGCCAGCGAAGCTCTCAAGCACCCTTGGCTGTCAGACCACAGACTCCACTCCAGACTGGCCCAGGTGACCATGCTTCCTGTTTTCTCGTGGCTTTCCATTTGCCCATCTCATCGGTTTCTGTAGTCAGCTCAGCCTTAAGTGAGATTTCCCACGTATTTCCAAAGCTAGAAATACGTTGCTTAGGGTGTTTTAATTGAGATAATAATATCGTCTTTTATATATGTTTCTTAGACTGCTTCTAGCACTAGGGAATCATTGTATCTGTTGTGAAGTGTGTTGACCAACAAACTCTCCCACTTAACACTGATACATGGCCTGGGATAGAAAAACAGTCTGGAGGAGATATGCTGATGTACATTTAGGAAAATTCTCTCCCTCGAACAAAAGTCACAATTCTAAATTCTCTGTTTACCTTGTGTACTTTATTCTCCTCTGGGCACCGACTCGTCTAATGCTCAACCTGGTATAAGCCTACCCGTCTCCTATTTACTTCTTCTCCAAGTTCTGCACCTTGTGTATTCTAGCTGTATTAGGAATCTTTCCAGCCCTCTTCATCCCACATTGCCCTGGCCCGGGAGACCCTGCTCCTGGAATTGCTACAGTAAACTCCTAACTGCTTCTCTGCCTCATATGCTTTTCCCTGCCAAATAACAATGAATTTCCGAGATAACACGAAGGCAGACGCACCACATTAAGTAGCCTTACTTAACATGTAGGCTTTTAACTGGTAAGCAGCCCACCTCCCGGCCCCTAGCTTGTAAGGACGTCTCTAACGGGTATACTGGCTGGGCGGCTGATTCCCGGCCTGGGACTGTAATCCTCTCCACACTCCCCTTTGCTCCTGCTCTTCTCTTCACTGTCCGCACTCCTGGGGGTTTGGAAAAGGACTCCTCTCTGACCAGCAAACCTTGGAATGACTGCTTCAGAGTCTCACTTTTTCCACAGCCAGTTTTTATTGAAATTAAATCTGCATCTAAATTCAGCATCAGTACTGAGTTTTATTTGTGTCTGAATATACCTTTCCTCGATAATTGGTACTGATGGCAAATAAAAACAGACTTATTACCTAGCCAGTACCTCTCCCAGACTGCATAAACTGCTTATTAGGGTGACCAACCTATTCTGAGCCCGTTTTCCACCAATGTATTTTTAACCAGGGGTCTAAATACACTTTGACATGTCAGGACAATATAGAAGCCACAGCAAAGGAATTAATGACATTATACAGGCTAGAAAGTTGTTTAAAAATATTTTAAATCATGTGACCACAACTACAAAAAAAATCACCTTTTTTGTTATCCCACCCAACTGGTGACACCTGAAGCAAATAGATATCACAAGAAAATAGTTTTTAAACTCGCGGTGCATACAGCTAGTTACTGTTAAAGTCATACTTACGTGCAGCTGACTCTAACTGTGTTACGAGGATTAACACATGGCACCCTCATGCTGACCTCATTAACCTGGCATTATTAATTACTATTGCCACTGTGTAGATGAGAACACTGTGGTGGGGTCAGGAAGTGCTGGAGCATGGACAAAGCTTTGCCACGCCCCTGATGGCTGGGAAGAGGCTTGGAGCTTGTTTCCAGACCCACTCCAGTACGATATGTGTTTGGTGTTCCTGGGTGCCTAAATGCAATCAGTACTTTTTATTTTTCAATAAAATACAGGCTGATCATCCCTTATCCGCAATGCTTGGGACCCTTTGGATGTTAGATCTCTTCAGATTTTGAAATATTTGCATGTGTACGATGAGATACCTTAAGCACGGGACCCAGTCTTGGTAGGGAATCTCCTTGTTTCGTGTACACCCTATGTGTACCGTCTTCAGAAGGTTGTGTGCAGTGTGTTTAGTGCACCTGCATTTGGACTATTAGCACATGAAGTCAGCTGTGCACTTTTCGACTTTAGAATCATGTCGTTGGAACTCAAACCGTTTTAGATTTTTGAAGCCTTTCAAATTTCAGATATTTGGATTAGGGATATTAAACCTGTTGAGACTTAAATTTTTGTATATTTGCTTTGGAAACAATCTGGTTCCTGTATGTTCTCTAAAATAAGAATTTACATTGTGTCTAAATGTTATTTCTCATTGAAAACTGCCAGTTGGCCTAACATTTATTTCAAAGTACTTTGTATTTTCTTATTTATCTCTTTTGATTGTTTTATGCTTGAAAGCTATTAATTAGCTTTTGATCGGCTGAACTGCCCATTTTCTTTTAAGAAGCATGTTTTTCCTCTCCTAGAAGTTAAGGCCTGGAAGTTCTCTGCCTTCTGTGTAGGCTTAAAGTGCCACACAGTGATTCTATTCTGTCTTCCGTCCCCAACCACACACAACACATCCGTATCAGAAGCAGCCCCCTCCCCTCCCTCCCCCCCCCCCGCGCCCCCTGACTAGCAGAACTCAGTAAGCACTCTTCTGAAATTCCTCAGTGCTCTGCAGCCAGAGGAAAGAAATGTGAGCAAGGATAGTGTGGCTTCTTCTCTCCTGGAACAAAACTTCCTTCTCCCTTTCTTCCTTTTCTCGGATCTACTCACTTTGTGCCTGTTTTTCCCCCAGTGGACAAAAACAGACCACAGGCTAACACCCACTGCTGTTCATACTAGCAAAGAATTTCCTTATTCCCAACATCTCTAATAGTCATCTTTGCATCCACTATAACAAACATACAACATGATGAAGTTCTTGTGCTAAGTTCTCTTATTTTACATCACAATTGTAATCTCATTAGTATTGCTCCTGTGGAGACAGAGTCCAATAGGTTCACTTTGTGGCCAGGAAAAGACAAAAAGAGCAGGCTAGGGTCCTATCACTTCTGTCAAAGTCATGACCCCAGTGACCCTTAAGATATATTAACACTCCCAAGTAGCACCACGGGCTGGAGATTAAGCTTTTATTTAGCACATGGTCCTGGGGGAAGGGCAGTTCAAATCCAAGCTATGTCATGACCATCCCCAATCACAAAGTCTTCATACTCCTCCCGCTGTTCACACCAAGGCAACACCCCACAGACACAGCTATTCTAAGACACCCTAAACTCCAGTCTTGTCTCTGTCACTATTTGTCACATAGAACCCTGTTAACTAAGGCTGATGTCCAATGCCACCTCCTTTACAATGGCTGTAGAACCCCATCCGAGACCTTGGCTGTCTTCTTAAACCTTCCCACGCCCCTTAACATCCCTTCCTCTACTCCACTGATCTTACACAGAAGCAGCCATCCCTTTAGTTGTCCTAGCCCCAATGTCATGAGTACTAGCTCTTTTGCTTTGCCCAAGTGGGCTTTGAACAAACATACATTTGTAAATTAAATACAATGAGGGAGTGAGTGGATTGACCCTGGCTTCAGTGGAAGGAAGAGCACTGATCACAGGATGCCATTGTAGAGTGAGAAACCGGTGTGTCTATCAGAAGGTTGCTGACAATTTTAGCCTCTTAGATGTCTCTGGAAGATCACCACGAATCCAATAGCAAATTATCAGTTCCTCACTTGCTCTGCTATTGTAAGTCAGAAACTGATAAAAAAAAAGCTGTTCTAATCCTTCCTCCAACGTTTCTGTTTCCCTAGAAGAAACCTAGCTCCGGCGCACAGAACCTCACGACCAAATAACTTGAGGAGTGAGCCTATTCTGAAGGTTGGTCTCAAGTTTCCCCCACCTCCTCCCATGGGAACAAATAAAATTACATTTGTTTGGGGGATAATTGGGATTGTACCCCAGGAAAACTAGATTCCAGTCATCGTGAAAATGTACTCCTCTGGTCTTGGGACTGTTTGCTGAGTGGTGTCTGTGTATTGCTTACGTGAATGGCATAGGAGAGAGAAGCTGGGCGTTTCTTGCACAGATATTGAGAGACACAGGCAGTGTTTGGGCTGGTGGCTAGGGGAAGGCTCCAATCAGATTACTGTGTTTTCTTCTTTCCAGCTTTACCAGGTCCTGGGAGAGGAAGTGGATTGTAGGTATTGTGTGGATTGTAGGTAGTCCACTGCCCCAGCTTGCTGAGTAGCCCCACTGAGATAAATACAGGCAGAGACCTGAGACGTCTTTGCACAGTGGGCTCCAGAACTTGTACAGAGATTGTCTCAGGTTACCCTTATAGTTGTGATACCTGGGAGAATGAAGTAGTACACCCAAGACTATTCAGACTTTACCTAAAAAACAGTGGGGTGAGATACTCTACTTTAGAAGCTAAAGTCTGCATTCCCCCCCACAGCAGCTGCCTCTGACCAGGGTTGTGCTTTCTGACCTCAAGAAACACAAAGTCAGGTCTGGCTTCTTTGCCCCATGCTTAGTTTTGTTGGATTATTAAGGGACAGTTTGGGGGCATGCCTTCTTTTATATCAATAATAAAGAAAAGACATATTCTAGAGAAGACAGAACAGCAGGGCAGCAACCGAGAGAGACTTAGAAATTGCAATATATAGCCTTTAAGAAGGGCTACCTACCTAAACTTAGAAAGTCCACGGTCATTCTTGCAGCGAAAATTTAACAACTGCACAAGGCTTACATTTTTGCGATGGGCAACTGGTCTTTCTCCCCACCCCATCCCCAGCCCCCTTTTCATCTTGTGGTGCCTGGGATGAATCCAGAGCCTTATGCACGCTAAGCAAGCGCTCTAACCTTGAGCTGTAAACTCCAGCTCTAACTGGTTTTAATCTTTCATTCTGATCTATATTTTTCTGGGCCAGGGTTTCTGCTTGTCTGTCTGCCAGGACAGAGACTTTTAAGTGGCCTTGAGTCTTTTAGAGAATAAGATGGAGAGGGACTAAGTCAGTATATCACAGTCAAAGGCTCAAGCTAGGGTTTAGAAAGCACGTAGCCTTTGTCGGGGTCGCTTAAAAGTCTGTCATTTATTTAGAAACCTATGAACAGTCAAGGAGAAGATTCGGACTTGCTGTTTACAAGATCATCCTTGTTTGTCAAGGGCAAGAAAGTGAGAGGAGTTGGAGGGAGGTATCGCTTTAAGACCCACGGGAGCCCCAGGCCTAAGTGAAGCGCTCAGTCATAGCCTGCCCTTGGAGCTGTGAACACCCCGGGCCCCAAAGCAAGCAGGCAATGCCAATCCTCACCTCTCCTCTCCCCCACCCTTTCCTTCAGAAGCAGCTTTGTCCCCAGCCACCACAAACCCCTAGGGTTTGCCACAAACCACCTTCCCACAGAGAGCACTGGAGTCACTTTGGAGGCCTGGTGGGAATGAGTGCACTGGGTGACAGGAGGTTGCATTCCAAGGAGGGCCTGTCGCCAGGGTCTGTAGGGAAAGAATGAAGAGGAAATGGTGGTGGGAGGAGGTAACGTCCTTCCATGCCAAAGCTGTCACTTTGAACCCAGTGTGATGGAAGACAGTGCAGCCCCACGTAGGAACAGAAACGGAAGCACTGAGCTGGTCACACCATACAGCTGGGTACACTCTGCTGGAATTACTGAGCTCAGACAGGTTTGTTTCCTGATGGTCTAGGGCTGCCTGCCTGTCTTCCTTCCCTGGGCTCCCCTAGCCCCTTTGGCCTTAGAGGCTCCTTGCAGGTCAGGAAGAATGTTTTCAGATCTACATAATCTGCCTGCTTTTGTTAGTTGCTCCCTTTCTCTTTAGTCTCAATTGTAGGGATGGAACCCAGCCTCACGCTTAATGCTCAAGGGGCCTACCATGGTGCCACGATTTAAATTAAAAATTAAATTGCAAGTATTAACTCGGGATGGCAAACTCCAGACCTGCCTGGCCTACAGAATGAGTTCAAGGTCAGACCCGACAACTTACTAAAGCCTGTCTCAGATTTTAAAATTACAAAAGAGAGCTGGGGTACAGCTTGTTGGTATAGTGCTCACCCAGTGTGTGCAAAGCCTAGGTTCAGTTCTCTTTATCACACAAAAAGGAAAAGGAATGGTGTGTGTGTATGCGTGTGTATGTGTGTGTGTGTGTACAGTCGTGTGTGTGTGTGCACTCATGTGTGTGCATGTATGTGTGCAAGTATCAACACTGAGCAAAACCACTTGGGAAGATGAGTGAGGCTTGTGGTAAGATCTTATAAGTGAAACTAAGTTTGAGATGAGTATTTTAAGAGATCTGGTGGTTAAAGATTATTCTTATGGAAAAGAAAGAGAAGTCGGTTCCAATAAAACACAAAAGTAGCCTGGTGGCCCTCTGTCAGTCATTCCCAACCTGAGTCTTCTCCCACCTATAAGACATAAAAATTCTAAGATGTTGCTCAGAAATGAGTCTGAGCAGCAACCGTGTGCAAACCTCTATCAGAGGTGGGAATGTGATCTGCTCTTATCTTTGTGTGGCTTTTATCTTTGGATCCATTCAACTGTAGGTAGAAAATATTTGGAGAAAAACATTGTAGGGAAAAAGTGGGAACTTGTCACTGTTTCCTAAACAATGGGACGCAATTGTTCACCAAACCCTCCATCGCTAGCGTTATTAGTCACCTAGGCATGATTTTGGACATACGAGAAGCTGTATGTGGGTTTTACCAAATTTTATGCTACTTCATAGAAGGGATTTTGCAATCTGTGGATCCTGGTATTTGTGGGAGGGTGGGTGGAACCACCCTCCAACCGATACTGGGTGACCGTATGGCCCTTCCTAGCCCAAATTCTCACTTTGATGCTGAAATCAAGTTGACCGTGGCCTGATGACAACAGCATAGGAGTGGCTGTGCTTCAGGGGAAACAAAGAGGGCCTTGTCCTTCAGTGCTGCAAATAGTTCTAAAATACTCACAGGGGCTTTTAAAAAAAAACCAAGCAGCCCTGGTGAGCAGTGGAATCTGTCAGGCGTTTTCTTTCTGTCTCACACACATACACACATACATTATGAAAAAAATCATCTGTGGTTTTCCTAAGGGGCACAACCAGCTAATTACAATTTTAAAGTCCTGCTGAATTAACAAGATTGGTATTTTGTTTGCTTTGCAGGAAAACGGCTGCGGTTGCTGCTGCTTTGAGAAGGCTTCTGGAAAAATCAGCAGTTCTGGTGCCTTGACCCCTGTGATGACTGGCAGCCATAGCACGGGCAGCCTTGAACTTGAACTTGGAGAAGCTTTGCTATGCTCAGTGGGTGACCCAGGTGGCTCCCTTGGGGCTCAGGCAGATGCCCACACCCCACTTAGTGCGCAGAGGGGAAGATGTTGCTCTGCCTCCTTGACTTTTTGTGTTTCGATGTTTGTTTGTAGTTTTGGATGCTAGTGCGGCAGCAGGTACGCTATGCTGTTTCTCAGGCTACCAGAGCAGAGCCTGAAATGCATAAATCTGTAGGATACATTTGGAGAGAGAAAATGGCTTCTGGTTGTTGCACTGTGCTTCTCAAGGGGGCAGTATCACCAGAAAACGTCTAAGGTTTGGGCACTTTGATTTGCATTTCTTTGTGATCTGAAATGGGATGAATTCAATGGAGAATTTACTTGCTGGGACATAAGGCCTCCAAGGCAAGAGACTTCACACAGGGCACCTTCTGTGTATTTTGAACTCTCTCCCAAGCGCAACAGTTTCTACCCAGGGGCTGGTTCCATATTCAGATTCATACCATACTTTTCCACAGAGTGCCCTTTGCTCTGGTCTAACGGGCAAGTTCATTCCCATTAAACATGGTGGTTTGGGGACATGATGTAAAGGGGTCTATTTGTGGTTAGTCCTTAAAATGATGACCTTCAAAAGACAGTCACGAGAACTTCCTTCAAGCCCTAGATGTCACCAGTAGGAGATGGATCTGTGCACCCTGGGGAAGGACAATGCTCAGATTGCAGTGTTGGTGGCTAGAAAGTGGCTCTCCAGCTTCTGGGTAAACTGAATTTAGAAGACCAATAATCATAGTTATGCAAATTCACAGCTTTGAAATTCTCACAGGAGTCAACAGTTGTAGGGTGATAAATAAGGAAAACTGATTTCTGGTTGCAAACTGTTGTTGTTGTTTATTTTGAAACAGGGTCTCATTGTGTAGCCTTGTCTGGTTTGTAACTTGCTCTGTGGACCAGGCTGGCTTCAAACTCATAGATACCTACTTGTACCTGCTTCAGAGTTGTGTGATGCAAACTTCTTATTTCCTAGCACATGGGCTATTTTCTGTCAAATGTTTAATAAGGAACATAGGTGACATTTAAGGGACAGAAAGCTTTGGGGCTACAGAAAGCAAAATGGGCAACATTTCTGTACAAAGACAGAACTTTGCAAAGCTCCCTGAAAATCCAATGCAAATTTAGACAAATAGCTGTTGTATTTAGCTCAGCAAAATAATGCCCCCATTTTTAGTCATAAAGCGATGTCACAATCACTATTGGCAAGAATATCCTAGTGGCCCTGTCATTGAGGGCCAACTTAAAGCCCATGGCTAATCATCAAACCTTTGCAGTCATAAGCATGCACACCAATAACTAATGCTTTCTCATAGTAATTTCTTTCCCAACTCTGAAGGGGAAGTAGGTGTCAATTAGTGAAGTCCAGTACCCATTTTGTTGTTGTGGCAGTTGTAAAAATTTCCTTCTTTCGGCCAGTGTTCTCATGCTGTGACACACGTCTTTCTTCCTTTGACCCCTGCATTCATGGTTTCTCATATCCCTATTAATCATAAAATCAATCAATCTTTCTTTCTTTTTCCTTCCTTCCTTCCTTCCTTCCTTCCTTCCTTCCTTCCTTCCTTCCTTCCTTCCTTCCTTCTCCCTTCCCTCCTCCTCCTCCTTCTTCTTTTTCCTCCTTCTCCTCCTCCTTTCTCTTCTTCTTCAAAAAGAACACACACACACACCACCCCCACCACACAAACACAGGAGCAGGGACAAATAAGTAGAGTTCTGACTTCAATATTCTATTACTGTGCTATGCTTAGCTGATACTATTCACTGAGTATGGAAAAAAAAAAAAACACACACAAGCCAGTGCATGCATTAATGTTCCTTGACCACAGCAGGTTGGCATTCACTCAAATGCTAAATGGGGCGCAAGGGTCTAGTTGGAAACCCTGCATGGAAGGGCATTTTCAGCTGAAAGCATGGACTCTCCCTCAGCTCAGGGCACAGATCTTCTGAGAGACATCAGCTTTCGTTCTAACACATGTTGGCAGACACTTGGGCCTGCCACACGTGGAAGGGACAGTTTAGGTCACCTACAGGCATGATTTGTTGGCCACCTGAATCTACATGATGACCCCACAATTAGTGGGTATGATTTCTTTAGTTTTTGTTTTCCAAGGCTTAGAAAGGAGGCTGCTGGGAGTGGCTCTTCCAATGTGCAGTTAAGCTTGCGCATTTCGGTAAGAAGGTGGGTAGCCCCACGCCAGCGGCAGCATTTTATAGCCCAGCTCAGCCACCAAATGGTGATTGCAGACTGAGTTACAGAGGTGCAGGAGCTGACCAGTCTGTCTTCGCCTGTCCCCTCCATCCACACCCACACGGCTGCTTCAGCATAACTTGCTAGATGTCAGCCGTGATGAGAAAGGGGCTTCGCAAAGCCAGGGAATCAAGCCAGACGCCAGTGTGGACTCGGAAGTGGAGCCTGTCTGTTCTGGGGCTCTTGTCATCAACTTTTCCAAGGGGTCATTGGATTTTGAGGGACTGCCTGCGCTCCACCCTCCTCATGAACAGGAGGGCTCCGCTCACCTCCCTCTGATGCCTGGAGAAGTTGTTTTCTTGAGCATCACAAGGCAGCAATGGGCACTTCCTGCTGCTTTGAGAGAAATAGCCTGCAAATAACTTTGAAATGTGTCCATGTTTAGATTTCGGGAGACACTAACCTTTACCCAGATATTTAAGAACAAGAAAGAAGGGGCATATGTTTTCATTCGCTTCACAAAAATACTTTGGAAGAAATTTCTCTGACATAGCTTAGGGCAAAGCTTTATAGGTTAAATTAGGTAACATGTATGTATTAAGACCCATTAGCTTACTTTTGCTGTTTTTTTTGTTCAACTGATATTAATTTATTTTGTTTCTTTGAGAATGTAAATAGGCATGTCTAGTTTGATGTTTTGAAGAACATGTGTGTGCTTATGGAAATTAACATAGTCAATTTTCTTCTTGTTTTGGAACAGAAATATGGATTTTATACTAAGGAAATGAAACTACACTCTTAATTCATTCCTCCTCCTCCCCCTGCATCTCCACTGTTCCCCTTTACTCCCTCGCCTGGGCAGTGGGGTGCCAATGTACATACATGTGCTTGTTTAGCTTGGGCTGTGGGCCAGCTCATTTGGAAAATTTATTTATGAAAGTATAAGCAAGAAGGGGCGGTGGGGGCCTGTGGGCTGCAGTGGTTAGGCTTGGCTCTGCCATCCCTGTAGGCCTCACTGGCTGGAGCTCATTGCCCAGTGTCTCCAGAACTCAGACACTGTGCTTGCTTTTTAAATTTTTTCTTCGCTTGTTTCTTTTTCTTGAGTTAGAACGAAGTCTGTCTTCTTCATTATGATATTCCTCTAAGAGCCAGCCAGGCTATCTGCAGGCCTGACTCCTCCCTCCTTCTTTCCTTCCCTCCTTCCCATCCTTCTGTCCTTCCTTCTTCCTTCTTTCTTTCATGATAGAAATGGACCCCAGGACCTTGTGCATGCTAAACACATGCTGTACCACTAACCTGCACATCAACTCCCCCGTGACTTTTTGAGATGAAAATTTATTTTCCAAATGGCAAAGTGCCTTCGGCACCACAGGAAAGTAGATAGTGACACATTCGATGCTGGCTTTCGGGTTCAGAGTGTGTCCTTGTGCGGCTTCTCTCCAATCAGAAGTCCCCCACATGTCATCTCACCCCACTTTGGTGAGGTTTTTATAAGTGATCTTTCTATATGGATAGTCTCACCTTCCATGAAGACATATAAAGAATGTGACCACCCATCCAAAAGAGCAGCAGACACCTAACCCTGAGTGGAGAAGCTGGACATATGTGCATTTTGCTGTCGCCTTAGCTCGCAGATGTCCATGTGTCCTGAAGAGGTTCATTCATGCAGATCAGAACTGGAGTGGATTGTGTGATGACTTCGTATGTCATGTATATTTTTTAATTCTGAATGTAGTATGAACATTTGGCTGTATTTCTTTGCCTTATGACGGTGTATTGTAAGTCATATATATATATATATGTATTATTTTGAAGAACAACATGGATCTTATTTATCTTTGTTAACACTCTAAATTATTCAATAAAGAAGCTTCGGTAAATGCAACGCAAATCCCTTCCTTTTTGATGGTTGACAACATCCTCAGTGAATGGCTGAACAAAGGGGCAATGGAACTAGAAAGCCTGAGAGTCACTCTTAAGGGCATAGGCTCCGGTCTTTCAAGTTCTTTATTACTTAGCCTGAGATGGCTGTGAAGCAGCTTGGCACAGGCCTGTGGTCCCAGCTGCGTACGAGGCTGAGGAAGATGATCAATCACATGAACCTAGGAGATGACAAGTAAGACCATGATATCCTATTATATTAAAGTCTCATTCCTGATGTAAACGTGCAAATATATGGGAAGCGTTTGTCGCCAGTCCACATATTGATTAGATCTTACTCATTTCACCAATTAAAAATAATTGCAATACCTATTATGCTAATTAAAAAGCTTCTGTTGCTGAACAAATAAATATCGGGAACGAAGACAGGAATTCTAATTTTAAACATTTCCTCCCAGCCTCTGGGGTACAGTCTTGATTAAGTCAATATATTCTGGATCTTACCTCACTTCCATAGGAGTGTTTTATAAGAAATCACAGACAAATTCACCCTGCTTGGCCACAAAATCTCACATAATCCTTTATAGAAAAAAAATTCTATTTTCACTTCTTCCCTTAGTTTCTCATTGAGTTCCCTGAGGGATACACAAGTCCCCAGGAGTGGACTCCTCCTCCCTGCGTCCCCCTGATGGCAGTCTCTGCTCCAAAATGCACAGTTCCCAAAGTGCCCCACCACCATCCCAGCACAGCATATCATCCCAGAACCCTTGCTGGGGATTGGACAGTTAAACTAGAGCGTTTGTCCTCTTAGGTCCTATGAGGAATGTTCCAGCATAGACAGGAAGCAGCAAAGACTGCTCCCAAGGACGCTGGGGCTACTCCACACTCCTGGCAGAATAGCTCTTCTGAGCCTCACTCCTTTTTAAAGTAAATCTTAAAATTTCTGTGGTGAGTTGAAATAATAATGGCAAAGCTACCTTTGTAAGTCTCCATCTGCCTACCTCCACTGCATCAATTTCTCATCTTTCCACCCCAATTTTGGGGAGCACTTGATGGAGCACCCTGAAGAGATCTCAGGTTGCATTGCTGGTCTCCTGGGCTTCTCTCTTTTTCCTCCTTGAATCCTCCACATTGAGGTTCATTTTATTTTATTTTATTTTTTGCAGTGTTGAGGATCCAGTCCAATGTCTTGAATGTGCTAAGCATATGTTCTATTCTGATCCAAACCTCCATCCCTTGTTTGTCTTTTTAAGTCTAATCAGGTCATGTTAATGGTTAGAAGTTTTACTTGTATTAGTGTTATTTTAAGATCTTCATGTGTCCATGCGATAGCTCTCCCACCCCATCTGTAGCACGTCCCTCACTCCCTCAACCTTAAGCTGTACTACAGCTTCCTAGGCCTCTGAGGGGCCACACTAAGGCAACTTTTCATGGTTGGCCTTCAAGGGTGGAATGTTTTAGACATTATGTAGATTTATCTGCCTTTAGAACACAGAGCACTGAAGGGTTAGGTCAATGGTGGTGGCGTTTTTCTTTATTATAACCATGGCTAGAAAAGCCATGACTGGGACTGGAAGATCCATTTCTCAGTGTTTCAGTGCAGAACTGACAAACCAATGCCAACCATGGCAGAAGCCTCCATCTCTTGCCATGCAGACTTTCCCACAGGTCTGATTCCGTGACCACATGCCTCTCAGAGCAATAAGCTAAGGGGGAGAGAGTTATAAAAGGATCCTAGCAGCAACACTCCAGAATTCCCACAATGCTTTTTGTGTGGAAGGAGACACAATAAGAAATGAAAATCATAGGAAGCATTGTGAGGCTGGTCATCACTGTCCACTATAAATGGTGGTTTGTCTGTCCTTCCCTGTCCTGCAGTTGTTTCTAAATAACCACTCAGAGGCTTAATACTAACTACAGACTGACCTACAGTTCAGGCTTATTATTAATTAGCTCTTACATTTAAATTAACCCATTTTTATTCGTCTATGTATTGCCACATGGCTGTGGCTTTTACTGGTCTGCTGGTATATTATTTTTCTTTTGTTCTGCCCTTTCTTATTCAAGTCCTCAGTTTGATTGTTCCACCTAACCCTATCCTGCCTGGCTACTGGTCAAACAATTTTTATTATTAACCAATGGGAACAATATATGTTCACATTATGCAGAAGCATCCCATAGCAGTCCACCCTTTAGATCTCCAATGAGACATGATTCTACCACTCAATACATTCGCCCACTTCAGAGCCTCTCAAAGTCAAGTTCCTCATGGTATCAGCTCAAAGTCAAGAATATCATCTGCCATCTAGTCTCACTGATGATACATCTTCTTGAGGGGAGTTCTTTAGATTTAATTATCAGAGTACAGTTTCTCTGAGTTCAAAGACAAGAAAACTAAAGAGGGGAGCTATTCTTCCCCTCCACAGACCCCTGATAGACAGTGGTGGACAGGTTAAGACAGTAAGAGGAGGAGAGGAATCAGAGCAGCTGTGCAGTTGAGCATATATAATGGGAGGCTCTTGTTTTGGATTCCAGTTCATTCCAGTCCCAGGCCTGAGTCCATAGAACTTGACTCCACCTTCCTGGCTTTGGCTTCATTCTCCAAGTCATTCTCACCTGCTTCTAGGAAGGTGAGTATGTGTGTGCAATCGTGCATGTCTCTCAGCCTAGTTCTGTTCTGCAGAACTTTGAGAATGCAGAGGCCATGTTGTTCTTGAGTTCTATCCCACTACTTCAGTCTAAGCTGATGATACCTCCGAAGATAAGAATTTCCTAAAAGTCTATAATTTCCTAAGAATCTTGAGACTGAGTCCATTAGATAAAGACTGTACTTGCAAGTCCTTTCAGATAGGCCCCTCTTTATTTTGATTTTTGGTAAACCTCTTTGCTTATACATGTTTCTTATATTGCTGCTTTGGTATTTACATATCTGCTATTACTTCTTTGCTTGGTTCATTTTTAAAATCATCCATATTCTTTCTATTGAAGTATTTGCAATGTTCAAGTGGGACTTGGATGTGGTAGCATTTATTATAGTTTAGACAACTGTTGCTCAGATTAGCAGACCAGGGTGCCTGGTGTAAGCTGTATTCCCTGAGTAGGATATTAATTGGGAGCTCAATCACAGCTGCTTGATGTAACCACCGTGTAATTTAGCCAGTTGACAACAATGGACCATTTGACTTCAGTAACCACTGCAGTGTAAACAACCAAGGGTGTCTGGGGTATATCTTGGTCTTAGTTAATATCATTAGGACTGATGAAGATTAGTTATTTGATTGGCTTTTAAAAGAGAAAAGTACTTCCATGGCAGATAATGTAGCTAGGACAGGAAGGGTGACATACTGTTAGGATCTACAGATTTTAGAAAATGTTAAAACCATGGAAGGTTGTACTTAAGATGTGGGAGGGGGCAGATAGAGATGAGCAAGAGAAAAATGGAAATCGGGATAAAAGGGGAGAAGATGTGTGTCTGAAGTGTAGTAAAAGCACCTTATGGTAAAGCAGGTAGAGATGCAAACAACAGTCCTAAAGCCTAAATGAGCAATGTTCAAAAAGAAGCGAAATCACGAGACATATATGCAAGAATAGAATCAAACAGTAGAAAAAGTTAGAAATATAGAGCACTTATAGAAGGAATTGCTGGCACAGCTGCGCTGAATCAGAAGGGGAAGTTCTTTGATCGCTCCGCTTCTAGGAGGTTCTTCAGGGTGCAGACGGGAACCACTGTTCTCTGCCACTTGGTGTTCTCGGGGCTCCAGTGTTTGCAGGGAGGGAGGTTCCAGTTCCTTTTCTGGCAGCTCAGTGTTCCTAGTCCTGCAGATCTGGTGTCGATGAAAAGCAACTCCGCCTGTAGCTTCTTCCTCTGTTTCCTGGGCAGCTTTATTCTGCGTGCCAGAGCGGGCAGATGTGGAGAGGGAACCCGCCTGGGCTCCAGTCTCAGCATTACCACTCGCTTCCGGGCAGAGAGACCCCTCAGGCTTAATAAATTGGTTCACAGACCCTGTCTCTTGCATACAACCCTAAGATTGACCTTACCGTCTTTCTTGTTCACTGAGTCTCAGTGGTGAGGCTTCTAGTCTGCTGTCTTGCCCTGAAGTCGTCTGTGTCAGTATTTTGAATATCTTCCTAGGTGTTAGCATCATTTGATATCTGCAGTTAGAATTTCTGAAATTTTCACTCTTGTGTTGTTTATTGTAAGAGGCAAGAAGAAATCGGGAGTACTGTCTGTGCTCCCTGGAAATCGCAGCTAGATCTTGGAGTCCAGAAGTCCCCCATTATTGCAGAGACAGTTTGTTTCTGAACTTCATTCAGCCAGCACACAGCAGATCTCCAGTTTCGAAGGGAATTTCCTTCATTGTCCTTAACATGCTCACGGCCTTCTCAAACATTGTTAGGATTTCATGAAATACTCTTTTAGGTTCTCCCAGCTCTGAATAGCCTCCTCAAAGTCTTTCCAGCTTTGTCACATGGCTCTAGTACCAAGGCCTCTTTGGGGTTTGTCATGATGTACTCAGCTTCCACAGTACTCACCTGAGCACAGTACCGACTACCGGGCTCAACGCTCTACTGAGCACAATTCCACGGGTGCGGTACTCTGCCTCAACACTAGCGCAGTAGGCTTCTGTGTAATCCTCAAGTTTATGCAGCTTCTCTTTCTTCAAATAATTGTTTGTGAACTTTAAAAAAGAAAACAAAACTAGTCTTGTCTACATGATGAACGTCCAAGTCCACCGTTTTCTCAGTCCTGGCAAAGTCCTACTGTCACCATGACAACCTCTCTGTGCAGTAGGTACCATTTTGTTTTCTAACTGGTGTGATATTTTTTTTTCCCCTTCTACCTCTCCTCAACACTCGCGATCTTTGCATACAGGAATTGAGGTCTTACTTATGGTATATTGATTCTTTCCTCCAGTTCTAAGCAGAGATAATCCCTGAGCACGTACGTCCTTATTTGGCTGGATTTTGATGAAGAACAGTTCAACACTACTGTAAGACTTGCTGAACAAAGTTTCAAAATTATTTAAAATCACATTTTTTTTGTGCTTTAGAATCCTACTTTGTTTCCTTTCTTTGTTTCATCCAGTGACTGATGGCAAAAATAGAAACCATTATATAGTTAACTTTTCTTAAGTAAGAATTATGATCTGTATTCATAATTTTAAATATTTTCTTTATACATATGCTTAAATATATCAATTTGAGAGAAAATAACCCAACAAGGATATTCATAATTCTT